CCCGGTCAGGAGAAGCCGTGCATTTCCTCACCCATTTCCACCAGGATTTCACTGGGATGGTACCAATGTTTGTATGTTTATCCAACCTCTGTCTTTTCTGGATCTCTGGGGGTCTGTAAACTTCTTTTAGACCCTTTCTGGGGAGAATTCCCCTTTCTTTGGGAGAATTGCTGCTCTCGCTGCATCGGTGGAGTTCTCCGCTCTGTCTCCAGCTCCTCTTGGGCAGGTTGTGCCTCTCCCCTCTCCCCAGGTGGGAGGCGATGGCATCCTGCGGGCTGCTTTGGTTTGGTCTTTACCCTCCACCCGTTCACACTGAGGCCCACACAGAAAGACACGGTGCAGGGATTGAAGCCTTTTCTCCCGAGTTAGAAGAGCTCATTGTAAAAAGTGCTTTTCACACCTGTAGCCACTGTGTCCTGCGCTTCCCAGCCTCTCTGCTGCTGAGCCAAGTTTTAGCCAAGAGTGAAATTTCACAGCTGAGTTATATGCCCCTGAAAAACGGATTTCCTAATGGAAAGACTTACTGGCTGTTAGCTGTGGTGCTGCAGCAGGGAGAGGGGGCTCGGCTGGAGGGAGGTGTGGGGACTATGGGAGCTGGTCTGGGGTGTCCCTGCCTGGAGCACAGCGGGATGAATCTACCTGAGGCAGGTGATCTTTTTAATTCAGCACTGACTCATCTGTTTTCCAGGGGTATCCACAGGAAAGCTGGAGAAGCAGGGGCCTGAGGAACTGGAGCAGTGGGGCAAGTAAGGATATGGGCACCCTGATGCTGAGGACATCAGCATCAGCTCCCCAGCACAGCTCAGCCTGGCATCGCCCTGCCAGCCCGTATCCACAGCGCCATGCTGCAAAGAGTTAAATCCTGAGGCCTCACCAAAGCCGATGGGGAAATGACCCCTTGCCATGATGCAACCTCCCGCATCTCTGCAGGTCCAGTCTGTCCCACAGGAGCTTCTCCTCCATAAGGACATGGTCCATGCAGCGCTGTGGCCATCCTAGCGTGCTGGGCAGGGCTGGGGGCCCAGGCTGGGCTGCGTCCCCATTGCACAGGCTGGAGCCATGGTCACTGCTGGTGGCTTATCTCGGTGAGGGGGCACCCAATGCCCAAGGTGGTCGGCAAAGCCGTTGTGCAGCTGCAGGGAACAGGACCCCCAGCCCTGCCTCACACCCACCCCAGTGAGGGAGCAGGGAGGCTGAGAAGCCCCCCGTTTTTGCTTTACGCTGTGCCAGAGCAGACCCTCTAGAGGGCAGCTGGTTCCCAGCAAAAAGCCATTTTTTGGTGAACAATATTCTGCAGTTGTGGTTATTCCCAGACAGCCGAGTGTGAAGAGCGGCCAGGGGCTGCTGTGTCCCCGCTCACCTCGAGCGGTCGGATGAGTTGCTCAGAGCAGCTGAGGCTCCAGCCCAAGGCCAGGGGATGGGGCGGCACAGCCAAAATAGGGCTTGAACCCGTACCCGAGACACCAGGCTGTGGCACTTGAGCAGCCATCCACCACAGGATGAAAGGGTATGGTGGGATGGGGCCTTGGAGCCCACAGAGGCTGGGGCTATACCCTCACCTCCCATGGAGCATGACCTGGAGAGCAATTTGAACCTCTCAGAGATGCTTTAGGGTCATTGCTGCCACCACTGCCCCAGTGTCCCTGCATGGCCTGTGCCTTCCCCACTCACCTCCTGGGGAAGCCTCAGTGCCACATGTGATTTAACGAGGACAGGAGCATCCCGGTCACTGAGGGGTCACCATCTCCTTACATCCAGCACTTTGTCCCACCAGGAGATGCAGGTGTGCTCTTGCTGCCCGCTCGCTGTCCAAGGCTCGTAAGCTAGAGACCATTGGTGATGTCTCGGCAGGGCAGCAAGCGACCAGCCCCGCCATGCTTTGGGCAGTTTTTATAGGACTTTGCAGGTTTAGCTAAATCCGAGCTCTTGTGAGCTGGTGCAAGTGGTGGCAGAGGGACTGGGTTTGGCTCTTTCCAAAAAGCTGCCGGTCCTTCAGGGCTCTGAAGGAGGGGGTGGTCGAGTCTCAAATCTCTGGTGTTGGTTGTCTTTGCATGGATTTGCCCAAGTAATGTATGTTTCCAGTAGGTGCTGGCATCCCACCCGGCCTTAGCATCTCCCTGGCCCCAGATGCTTCGGGACAAGGAGTCCTTCAGCTTCTCAAAAAGAAAATGAACAAAAAAAGTTTGCAGTCCTGATTTCCCTCATTAGAGGGCACTAACAGACCCAACCGGGGCCAAGAGCGATTCCCACAAAGGGAAGCTCATCAAAAGGGGAAATTATTGGGGTGCACATCCCAGCTGCTGGGGTGAGCAGGGCAAGGGCGATGGTACCCGCTTGGACTACATTGCTGCACAGCTCCTTTCCCAGAGAGGCAAGGCTCCAATAGCTTATTACCTGTATTCCCCCTCCCCATTTTATTTTTCTCGTTTGGCTGTAGACAAATAAAACTTCACAGTGAAATTCTCAGGAGCATTTAGGACAAGAAATGAGCTCTTGAAGGGTCCTTGGGTTACAGGTGGATGAAAGCTGCTTTAGAGTAAATGCAGAAATGGGGCAGCATTTGCCTCCTGTGTAGTGAACAGCACAACCCGACACACCGGGAACAAAATGAGACCCCACTCATTTATTGTCAAAAAACCTCAAACTTTACTTGCGTTTCTCTCAATAAATAATTTACAGTATATACATGCAGTGACACTCCCGTGGGTCTCAACACAGGGAGGAGGTGGGGGGAGGGCCTTCTCATAATGCCCCACCCTTTGCCTACGTATTTTTTTTTGTTTCCAAGTATCGGGTCTTTCTTGGCCACACTTCACCTTTAACCAGAACTGGGTCAAACACAACCAAAATAAAGTGCTTCACTGTTTGCTTCTAAAATAGGGATACCCCAACCACCGTACGACAGCCGGCCACCACTGGAGTGCTCACTTGGACAGTGGGACTGAGCCACGCCATAATCAAATAGATTTTCCTTGGCTGGAAATTACCCCTAAACCACAGCACATCGTGCCGCAGGGTGATCGCTTTATAGGAAAGGGAGGTCTTAGGGGAACTATTGACTTGTTGGTACACTGTGGCTTGGCCAGCTAAGACTGCTTTCAAGAAGGACCGTGTCTTCAGAGGGATGCTTTGCACAGCTGCTGTTATCTATGGGGTAACACAGCAAGAAACAAATGTTTCCTCTTATCCAGTGACAAATTTTGACTTTCAAAACTTGCATTTTGAATTTCTAGGGAAGACAAAAACTTGGTTCTTTCTTGAACAAAGGAAACAAAAAGTCTAATTCAGCCTGTCTGAGCAATTAGTGCATTGGGAAACTAAACTGTCCTGTGCCATGGTCCAGTAGTTGCTCCCCTCAGCGCCTCCAAACTGTGATATCCTTATTTCAAAATCTCCCTAAACAGAATACCTGGGGCACTAGCAAACAAAGCAAGGAGCAAAGTAGTAAACACATCTTTTTGTTTCTTTTCTTTCCTTAAACATTTAAAAACCAATTACATCTCTTCATCTGTACAGTCACACGAGATCAATGCCAGGGCTCTATATATTAAAGAGACAATATAAATTACATCCATTGACACAATTTTGCATTTCTCTGCTGCTTTACAAATGGAGCTCTAGAGCTGTTAGGACACAATGAATAGTCATGTTGAGTATTTACACCAGGCTGCCTCTCGGCACCAGTTCAGACTGCCAAATGTAGCCTGTTCCCACCTCTTTTGGTGCTAGCTTGTCTCATCATGCCCAGAGACCTCCCTTGAGAGCAGGTGTCCCCAAGAACCACACAAGTTTTGGGGCTTGTTTCTGGGAACTTCCCCCTGAGGAAAGGAGAGGAAACCCATCAGGAGGTCTCCAGGATGCAGACCAAAGGCGATCTTGCCGTTTGTTCAGTGAGCGATGAGGTGAACCACAGAGGAATATGGAGAGGAGGAGATGGGCAGCACTACGTGGTGGGGGAAAATTATCGATGGTTTCGAGGCCAGGAACAGACATTTGGAGGCAGTTGGGGGGTCCTCTGCTGCATCCCATCTCCTGGCTGGATTTCTAACATTGCCCCATTTCTGATTCAAGCCCAGAGGGGCTTAAGGTGCAACTGGTCTGCAATGGGGTTGCAAGTCACGGCCCCAGGATGAGGAGCGGAGCAGAGACCTAGCAGCAAACAAACCGAGCACGATGCTCCAGCTCCACCCCAGGGCCTGGCCGAGCCGTGGGCAGGCGAGTGGGTGCAGGGCTGGAGGGAGGTGCGGATTGAGTCTCCCACTGAGCAGCCTCCCCGCTGCCAGTTTTAGGGGACTAGAGAGCAAATGGTGTGAGGAACTCATCCAACACTGGGCAGAAGTTGTAGAAACCGCTTGAATACTGGCCAGGTTTCTCCCGTTGCCATCAAAAGTCCTCAGTGGGTCCGAGCAGAGACAAGGGAGCCAAGAATAAAACTACTGAGTGAATCAGCCGAATGAACTGGCTAAAATAGGAGATGCCCTTTGAACCACAGCAAACGCAAGCCGAGGCTTGGGGAACATGTCCTCCTTTCACCCAGAAGATGCCTGGCATTGGCGGCCAGGCAAGCATGGGACCATTCCCCAACATTTTGGCCTCTTGCACCACTTTCTGCAACAATGGGGCCGTGGGCAGAGTGGGACATGCCCAAATAGCAGAGCACGGCCCCAGCAAGCACAAAGCCCAGCCCTGTTGTGCTGGCCAGGCTTGGCCCCATCTCTTGCTGCTCTGTGTCCTCCTTGCAGGCTCTACTCTCTGAAGACAAAGCCACATTCACGCCCACCAATGTCACAGTTGCCACGTGTGTTTTCGGGACCTTGGGGAGTGCTACAAGGAGGTGGGGGGCTCCTCAGCACCCACACTACTGGGAGGAGAATGAGAGGGGGAGGTGAGGAAGGTCCAGCCAAGGTACAGTCCAGCAAAAACTCCTGACTGGTCCCACTGGCAGCACGTTCCTCCCAGGCAAGAGCTGGGAAGGTGGAGGACCTGGTGCCAAAGAGAGTGGCTGAGGTTTGAGGACAACCCATGCGGCTCTGATATCCAACATCTCATTGTCCAGCACCGCCATCTCATCCCTGGTTCCCTCCTGCACCCCTTTCCCCACTCTCTGTGGTGTGAAGGAGCAAACCTCTATAACAAGCACAACCAACACTGACTCAAACACAGCAGTGCTACCCAGAGGGTGGGGAGGGGTCCTGAGGGAGCCATGTTGCCCGGGGCCAGGTCCCGTGTCCTTTCATAGAGGTGCAGCTTGTCTTTGTTGGAGTGAAGCATCTTCACATCTTCAAAGGCATAGTAAGCAGCCAGCATGAAGTTGACGTCCCCCGTGGTGAGGAGGTCGAAGACGCAGGACTGAAAGTAGAGGTCCTCCACGGGCAGCTTTTCCCTGCACTTGGCGGTGGCCGTTTCGTACGTGAAGGCCTCAGGGGGGGCTGGCAGGCTGGGTCCCTTCCTACGAGCACGACCCTCTGTGGCCTGAGCCGAGCGGATGGTCTGGAAGTCAATTTGTTGGTTGAGCGGACAACCCCGGAGGCACAGGTAAAGGCCCTGACTGTCCCGGTCCTCCACGGCATTGACCACCTCCTCCGGCATGCGCACGGCGAAGGTGAGGTACCGGCCCACCTGCCTCACCACGATGGTGGTGCCAATGTACTTTGCCTGGATCTCAATGTGTTGGCCCGACACCTTCTCAGTGATCTTCAGGCTGTTGGCTCCATGCTTGTCCCCACCGTTCTTGGAGCCATCAGCAAAGGCAGCGGGGAGCTCGTCCATCTCTGCCTGGTACACTTTCTGGTCCACACACTCCTGGAAGCTCTTGAAGATGATGGTGAGCTGTGGGGGAGGAAAGAAAGCAATGGGGTTACAATCAGCAGTGACCACCTGACAGCACAAAGTCACCATCAGTAGTGGCACGGGAGGTGGAGGAGCTGTCTGCTCAGCCCGGCTGGGAGCGTGGCCTTCAGCTCATGGGCAGGTGCTTAATCCTAAGAAGTTGCCCCAACTTTTAGGCACCCAGACATGGCCATCCTGCTTCAGCACAGGGATGAGGACACAGTGTATGGAGTCCAGACTCAGAGGCTGGACTGAATGTACCACCTGGATCTGTGCTCTTATCTCCAGGTCCAACATAGGAGCTCCCTTGTAGCTGGAGCCGAGTGGAGTGTTGTTACGCACAGGCCTGTGGCAGCATGCCCGGGCATGCAGCACTGTCTTGCCTCCAGGGCCTGGCAGATGGCAGAGATGGCAGACTCTCTTAGAGGTGGTGGAGCTTCTCCTCTGGCTCCAATGGCATTTACATCCCAAGGGCCAGACCTCTTCCTTTCCCTGGCCACTTGCAGACCAACAGAGTCTTCTCCTCTGGGCCCTGGAACATATTGTGCTCCATCTCTACCATGCAGACACACACATGTTCACCATGTTCAAGTGGGCAGGCTCTTCTAGGGGTGATACGGGCATAGACTGAGCCCAACATGCCTCCCCACCCTTGGCTCGCCTCAAACACGGGTCCATTGCTGGAGAAAAGACCTCACCAGAGCTTGCTCCTCCCTTGCTGATCTGGCTTTGGGGGCAGGGCTTGAGGAGGAGGAGGAACAGTAGAGTTTGGATGGGAGGAAGAACAACTTGTTCTTCTTCCTATGCAAACTACGTTTCCTCTTTCACCTCTTGCTTTGCCTCCTGCACCTCTTTCCATGACGGAGGAGCGATAAGGAAGACCTCCCACCATGTGGCCCCCATGAAGGGGTAGACTGAGACCTGGCCAGAGTGGGGCAGGGCTGGAGCAGAGATGGCTTCAGCAGCTACAGGGCAGGTACATCCAAGGGCTGAGTACGAAGGGAAAAGCTGAGGCTTCCCAAAGATTGGGTTGAGCATGGTGGTGGCTCCTAGCACCTCTGCTTCCAGTGGTGCTGGTGAGGAGCCCAGAGCTGTCCAGAGCTCGGGCAATGTCCTCCCTGCCTCTGGCTGGAGGAAGAAGGCTAGACCTGAGACCATCATGCAAAAATACAAAGAGCCCCATGGACTGAGAGGCTCCCATCCTATCCAACAGCACATGGTTCTCTAGCAATGACCCCGTAATGCTTTCCACATTTCATGCTGCAGATCTCATGACTAAACACTCCTCACCACAAGCCTGTGAGGCAAATAACGCGTGAAAAAGTTCAAGTAAGATGGTGATCTTAGGATCCAGCCTAGAAATTGCAGATCCCTGGGGTCCTTAAGGACCACCTTCCTCAAGTCAGCCTTCTGTCAGAAGGTTTTGATGTCCTTTGGTAGGTATGGAGCTGAGAGCATCATTAAGTATCTTTAAGGAGGTTTACTGGGGACAAGTCAAAACCAAAATGCCAGCTTCAGCTGGCCTAAAAAGGTCACATCCAGAGCTGAGAAGCTGTCCCTGTCCTACATGTACTTCTCTTCTCTCCTCACAAGCAGGGAGCCGCAGAACTCCCAGACACGCTGGGACAGGACATCTTCCAAAAACAAGAGGATGCCTCCTGCTGAGCCTCTCTTTTTTTGGCACAAAACATGGCCTGTTAGCTTTAGAGCTTGTGCACCATGGAGCAAGAGAACAGTTCATCAGCTCCAGGTCTCTGCTGAAGCTGAGGCCACGCCACGCAAGTCCGGCTGTATCACAGCACCACGTTTTCACTTGGGTTTTCTTAGTGTTTGCCTTGTACCTTCAGGATGTTTACTTAGGCTGTCAAAGCACCTCCAGAACAGACTGTGCCCCACAAAATGCCTTGACTTGGCTGCAAACCGCAGAGACAATTACGTGCCTGGGCAGAGGGGAAGGCAGTGTGAGGAGCTCAGCTCTCTCCAGGCTTTTCCCTGCAAGCCGGAGCCTCCCTGGAGGGCACCCTTGGGTTTGCTTGGACCTTAGGTATCCTCTAAAAGGTGCCACCATCATTCCTGGTCTGGCTGTTCACAGCAACCTGGAGTCCCCTATGTGGGATCCCTCTTAATCTGCAATCCCCCGATTCAGCCACGATGGTCCTCTGAGCTGCAGCATCTCAACCTGCTAACCATGATGGGGCTGGATGTGCTCAGGAAGAAACCACAGGCTGTTTAAGTGAAGGTGGGGACAAAGGAAGGACAAACGTCTGATACGTAGGGCCAAACGCTCAAATTCAGAGGAGTTCCCACCCAATCTTACCCTCCCCAAGGAGATGTGCAAATGGTGGAGGAGGAGACAGTGGAAAGAAAAGCTGTTCAACAGCAGCTCTGCCCTTGCCCACCTCTACTCATGGGGACATACCCCAGGCTCACCTTGCTGGTGGCGGTGGCCGCGGAGCCAGGCAGCACCGGCGTGTTGGTGACCTGGACGTTCAGGTAGTTATTGTCTATGAGCGGCCAAGCCCCTTGCACCTTGCAGGTTTGGAAAGTGTCTGTGAAAGTCCTGAGGTGGGGGTCCCCGAAGAGCCCGCAGTGGGTATAGTTGGGTGCGGCTGAGTGTTTGTGAAAGCTCTTCTCGTAGTGGCAGATTTCGGGGCTGTCGGAACGTTCCTGGCTATCCCCGGGAGGCAATGTCCAGAGGCGGGGCTGGGATGTGGGGCCATCCTTGGAGCAGTTGTGTTGCCCCATGAGATCGCCTATGCCATGCACGGCGGAGTGGTAGGCCAGGTCACCCCTGCAGGTGCGGGCGGTGCGGCGGGCGCAGTGCGCGTAGGCACGCAGTGCCGTGCAAAATTCAGGGGCCTCCTCCGTGCCCAGGTGGTGGGAGCCCGACGTGGCCGCCCAGAACTCAGAGTTGCACTTGAGGATCTTGCATGGAGATGTCACTGTGGAGTGGGGAAGAAAACACAAGGTGGTCAATGCTGGCACGTCTGCATGTGGGACATCAACTCTATCCCCAGCAAGAGGTTGGTGTCCTCCTCCCTCAGCCCAAACTCATGACATTGGCTCTACCGCGTGACGGGGCCTCGCTCATCAGACGTGACCCTCTCACATGACCCAACTCTCACGCATCAAAGCCAAAGAAACGAACAGGATCTGCCCTAATTTAAGCCAAGAAGGG